CATGTAGAGCGCATTGCAGTAGTCTATCTGGGAGATAACAAGGGCATGAGTGACCGTATACATATTTTAAGTGTGGTCATAAATTAATTATATAATTGCATTTCAGTCAAAAGATATAAAATTAGAATACGTTTAATGCTGGAAGTGCCACCCTTCAACTTCAGAAAATTAATTTCCATAGCAGCACAAGATAGTACCTGCCTTTCTGATACATCTTTGGGGATAAGGTGGGACAACAGGTGCATGGAAAGGATTGCTGTTTATAGCCTTTCTGTTATTACCCTCCTTCTATTTTTTTGCTTTCCTTTAGTGGGGATTTATATTGCTGTGAGATTGGTTTGTGTTAGGTTTTATTAGTTCATTTGTCTGATCATGTGTTATTTGAATAATAATCAAGTTCTGCATTTTCGAGAGAATTTGGAACATAGTAACTCATTTATCACTCCTACTTTTCCCTCCAGTCCCTAAATGGCTTCATTTGCTTACTAGACTTGAATTTCTGCTGTCATTTTATCCCAGATCAATTTTGTATTAGACAATTTCATGTATGTACCATGGAATATTTCTGTGAGTGCATGGAACTGAGAGGAGGAAGAAATGAGAAAAGGAATAGTCTTTGAATCTGAGTTACAAAATGGCACACTCACCGACTGAACTTTACTATTCTTTAAAAGAATCCGTGAAATTACGTGGTTTATAATAATAGTTGCAAACTTGACACGTTGCTTTAAAATCGGGGGCTGTGATGGCTACAATTTGTTTCTCATAAGGAGAGGTTTCAAGCTCGTTCAAATGTTAATTGTGGGTAACCGGGTATGGACATGCACACCCACATTGACCCAGAATATGTATTCATTCTGCTTGCTTTGAATGTTGTGTTGGGCTGAGAGAGTAAGGAGATTGCAATCTGATAGGAAGAATGATGATAGAAAACCAAGGCAAGCTGAACTGAAAACAGGCTGCAAGTTAATATACATCAGAGGAAGGAAGAGCTTGAATGGAGAATGCCACTAAATACACATTCTTTACTGCTGGTTTTACTTCCCATCTGATTGTTTTAAAGTTTCTATTTTATAGAGCAGTGTTCCTCAACGTTGGCAATTTTAAGATATGTGGACTTCAACTCCTAGAATTCCCCAGCCAGCATGGGGAGTTGAAGTCCACATATCTTAAAGTTGCTAAGGTTGAGGAACCCTGCTATAGAGTATTTTAGTGTATGCTTTAACCTACCATTGTAATTGCTTGAATTGTATTGTCAGCAACTCTGAGATTTTTTTTTTAATAGGAAGTGGTAGACAAAGATTTACACAAAGAAATAAACAAATAAGCTATGGGAAAAACAGAGGGCTATTGCATTCATAGCTTGCTTACAGCTTTCCCCCATATATTTAGGCTAGATAGGATTTTGCCCTTATTTAGTTCAATATTTCTTATGCTCTTCAGAGAAAGAGGGAAGTGGTTTCAATTTTGTAGGTTGTGGTAGAACTATCTAAGAGGCGAAAGCAGTAGGGCTGGGCAGATTAACTGACTGATTGATTGATTACTATGACAAGCTTCCTGAATATCACAAGAGACAGAACCAATCTGGCTTCTACGAGTGCTCTGAAGGGGCACTTTGCTTCTACAGAATGTTAATGAGGCATCCCTTTGAAGCCATGCTAACAAGCAAAGCAGTGGCCCACTGTACTTTGTTCCATGGTGTGGCACAGCAGCACTGATTCTTTTGATAACTGTGTCTACAGCAGTGTTTCTCAACCTCAGCAACTTTAAGATGGGTAGATTTCAACTCCCAGAATTCCTCAGCCAGCAGGCTTTCTTTTTGTTGTGGCCAAAACCTGGCTTACCTAAAGCAATCAAATCACTTTGAAGATATAACGTAATTTTATTTGCATGCAATCAATAAACAGTCTATTCTGGGCTCCCAGCAAAGCACTGACCTCAGCAACTTTAAGATGGGTGGACTTCAACTCCCAGAATTCCTCAGCCAGCATGACTGGCTAGGGAATTCTGGGAGCTGAAGTCTACCCATCTTAAAGTTGCTGAGGTTGAAAAACACTGGTCTACAGACATGAAACATCTGACTGAGGCAGATCAGCACTGTTTCAACACTTTGTCAGGACACAACTCTTTGTCAAGGCATAGTCTTTGTCAACATCCTCTTCAAGATGTTTTGCATCCTTGAGACAGAGGGCCTCAACACTCTGATTCCTTGAGGCAGATTGCAGTCAGTCTGCCTTAGCCTAGAAAGCAAAAATATTGGAGGCTCTTTAAGAAAGAACAGTGATGCTTTGGCCATAAGATATGTTGGCTGCCCTTGGACTGTGGTGTACCTAGGTAGCTTTCAACCTTGCATTTAAAGATTTGTGGGAGAAGAGGGTCATAATGTCATATCTTCAGTTGTAAAAGTAATATTTCTGTTTCTGGTTATACTGTGCTTCCAGGTTTTACTGAATTCCTGATATGTTACAGCAAGCAAGCATTTTGTTGTTCCTAATAAAAAACGGTTATCAGTTTTGCATTAAACAGATATTTGCAAATCAGCTTTCTTTTTGTTGTGGCCAAAACCTGGCTCACCTAAAGCAGTCAAATCACTTTGAAGGTACAACATAATTTTATTTGCATGCAAGCGATAAACAGTATGTTCTGGGCTCCCAGCAAAGCATTGACAATTTGCTGAACAGCTGTGAGCAAAAGCAGAACCAGAGTTCATCTACCTTTGGCCCACTGCATTACAAAGGCAAGACAAAGAAAAAGGCAGACCCAGTAGAAATGACAGTGTGTTGTTGGAATATTTTAGGTAAACCCATCCCTGTGACCTTCTTGTTATTTATCCCTTCCTATTAAGTCAGCATGTTCCTACTAACTCAACATTTCTGAGATATGGTCAGTGAATAGAAACAGTTTGGTTCACTGGGCCACAGGCTCCTGACTGAGTCTTCTCCCTGTCGCCACTCAGGGTCAATTCAGCTTGCCGTGAATGTTTTCTGACAAGGGCACTGTAAGCAGTTCATACATATTTGGGGGGGGGGGCATCTCATAGGTTTGGTAGTGAATGCAGCATCCATGTGTATGGGGGAGCATTCCTTTTACCACCATATTTTCTTGAAGAAAAACAATACATGTTAGAAGCAAAAATAATAAAATGTTCGGTATTGAAGATATACATGCCCCACCAGTTGCCCCAGTTATAATGCCTTTTTAAAAAGAAAAAGAGGGAGCATGATGCAATGAGCATTGTTGTTTTGGGCTTACTCAAACCAGGCACTGAGGCTGGATTATTTCCTGCCTCCTCCTTCCTGCCTCATCTCCTATTCTCTGGAGGGGTAATTGAGCAAGTCGGACAGGGCAGCGCCAATATACTCGGGATGGGTCAGCATTTATACTTGAAGCATGCTGCGGCCAGTAACTCCTCTTTCTGTCATTTTCATCCAGAAGTTCGTGTTTTCACCTTGATCTGTTTCTAGATCAATCTCAGTGGGGAAACTTTGTTATTTTGACCCTTGGCTTCCTAGGTGTCCTTGTGTCCTCATTAGCAAACTGAAACACATCTTGGTGATGTTTAGAATTGCATATTTTATGTTTTTCTGCCTACATATTAGATGCCAGTCCATATTAGCTTGCTTGCCTTGTACGCACTACAACTTCAAGAAGTTCATAATTTCAGATGTTAATGGTTGTTACTGTTGGTTGCAGTCAGCCAGATGTTTAGACCGGATTTGGCATTTTTATCCACCTATTGAGTCCTTCCCAAGGACCTGGGATAAGAGGATATTGTTGTTTGATGGTGTGAAGAGTTTTGTTGTTGTTGTTACTATTATTATTATGGTTTTATCCTGCTCTCGCTCTCTGTCTCTCTCTCTCTGTCTCTCTCTCTCCTTCTATCTCAAGGCAGTGGACATACCTAATACTCTTGCTTCCTATTTTCCGTGCAACAACAACCCTGGGAGTGGTTGGGTTGAGAGAGAGGGAGTGGCCCAAAGCATTCTGGTGGGTTTCATGCCTAAGGCAGGCCTAGAACTCACAGTCTCCTGATTTCTAGGCCAGCACCTTAACCACTACACCAAATTGGGCCTCTAATATCTAATATCTCTTCCTGAATAGTTGCTGTAGTCTTTTCCAGTTTGGCTTTCTATCTCCAATACAGTAGCATCTCCATAGTTATTAATCTGCTTTCCTAGAGCTAATGTACGCTTTCAGAAAATATACTGAATCTGATACTCATTTTAATATCTGTGATGACAGGAATTAAGAACTGCATGTTGTGCTAAAAGAACCACAGCCACCACCCTGTTCTGTTAAACTGACTAAAAATACAAATGATTTCCTCAGGAGCTAACATTCATGACAACAGATTAAATTTATCCTTGTTTTGCAGGTCACTATTCTCATAAGCCTGGCTCTTGCATTCCTTGCCTGCATAGTCTTTCTCGTGGTATACAAAGCTTTTACCTACGACCACAGTTGCCCAGATGGATTTGTTTATAAGGTAAGAAGTCTGGGATGGATGATCTGTCTCTGCTAGTGATAGAATCTAGTTGAGTGCATGACTACAGCTTAGTCCTGCCTTTCTCTGTCAGGATTGAAGATATAATTTGTGCCAACATGCTGGAAAGTGGTTAGTGCTTTAGGAAATAAAGGTTTGCAGCCTCAATTATTTTGAATCTGACAGGTATAAATCTTCAAGCAGACGGCAGCCACCCACCCTTATCTATTTTTGAACAGGCTGACAAAAACGAGTTTTTTGACTCAGCCTAGTCTCTGTATCAGACTAAAAAATGTAAGAGGCATTTTGGAAGTTTTGGGACGTCTTTATTGATTCTCAATTTATTCTCACAGAATAAAAGGAGGAATAGGAGTAGGAAAGTGAAACAAAGTCTTGTTGAACTTCATGTTTATTACATCCAAGTGCTCTAGTCTGTTCATCGGCCCATACCGTACACAGAGTTGGATTGAGAACACACGTGCTTGTAGATCTGCTGTGGTTTACAGGACTATCCTAAGAAGAAATTGCATACAGGAAAGAAAAATTTTCTTTCGGATTGAACTCAGCTCCTGGGGACTCCTTGGGTAGATCCATGCAGTTATTTTGACAACAATACAGAATGGTTTGCCGTTGCTTTTTTCAAATTTCCTATTTCTTATTTCCTACTCTAGTCCTCAGCCCTGAGGTTTCTTGGTGGTCACTCATTCAAATAATAGTCAGGTCCAACCTTTGGTTTAGCCTTTTGAGATTAGCCAACTTCAACTAGATGCTGCCATGGAGTTGGGATTGGTAGCTAGAATTGCAGTCAAAATATTCAAACTTTTTCAGGATGAGCTATGTTGAGATAGATAGATAGATAGATAGATAGATAGATAGATAGATAGATAGAT